CGAAGGCAATAAATGCCTTTGGAACAAACCCACAAATCTCTGATGATCAAGTAAAACCTGACCATCAGTTTCCTTCATCTGGTCAAGCTTCCTCTTCATGTTTGTAGCATAGTCATGTGCGAGCCGGTGCAACTGTTTATTCTCATGCTTGAGCCCTCTAATCTCCTGTTTGAGACTCATCACTTCAGCCGCCAATGATTCAACTTGGCGGGTTCGAGCAAATAGGCGTTGGGCCATATTAGACACAGAACCTGCACACTGAACACTGAGAGCCAGCGAATCCTTAACAGCTAACTCATCAGACCGTTTGGAAAGTAGTCTGTTATCTTTGGGAGTGAGAAGGTTCCTGGCCACCACCGCAGCGGTCATATCATTCTTCATCACGGAATCCCCAACGGTAAGAGGACCAGTTGGGGAGACGAAGGATGGGCGCCATATGTTGTCTGGAGAAGGCAGGGCTGCCTCTTCAACAAGGTTCAAGTCAAAACGACGGTCGGAGGGGCCAGACATTTTCAAAGGTGTTGAAGAGAGAAGAGGTCGGACAAATCAAGATCTTAGAAGTGCAAGAATAAAGCTTCTACTGGTGGAGATTCAAGTGTGCTTTGGAACTTAATGCCAGCCTCTATAAAAATCTGCACTCGACGGAGCTTCAGAAATCAAAGAGGCGCCTGCTCAGAAATCGAAGAGGCGTTTGCTTTCTCAAAAGTTGGGCTGCTTAGAGATCACGAGGGTTGATCTCAGAAATCGAAGAGCCGTTTGCTTTCTCAAAAGTTGGGCTGCTCAAAGACCACGAAGGCCGATCTCAGAAATCGAAGAGGCGCTCGCTTTCTCAAAAGCTGGGCTCCCTAGAGACCACGAGGGCCGATCTCAGAAATCGAAGAGGCACCTACTTTTCCAGCCTTGTCAGCACCTGTCACACGCACACTCAGCTTTGCGGAAATTATGGGCATTCTGTCAAAAGACTTCTGGGGAAGTAGAAAACACATGAATCTTACTGTTCAATCACCCACTTCCCACACGCAACAATAGCTCATGGGTACCACAGATAACTTTGCCAAAGTTCTCTGCCAAAGTTGAGCACGTGAAGCTTGCAGCTCCCACTACATCGCTCTGACCAAGAAGGGTAAAAGAATAGCAAAGAAACAGCACTAACAAAGTTTAGACCCATAAATTTTGAAGGTCTAGCTACCATATTATTACCCACAAGGGTAAAGGAACAGTACCACTGCTGGATAATTGGAAAGTCCATGTATGTCAACCTCTGTGCTTCGTGGCAAGGTAGACTAGCAAACATGCCCAACCTTTACTCACATTCGAGAAAACACTCCCAATAAGATTGCTTGCTCCAAAATCGAAGAGGCACCGTCCTCCGAATCTAAAGAGCCAGACTCCCAACATGACTGCTTTCTTAAAAATCGAAGAGAGGGTAAAGGAACAGTACCATTGCTGGATAATTGGAAAGTCCCTGTGTGTCAACCTCTGTGCTTCGTGGCAAGGTAGACTAGCAAACATGCCCAACCTTTACTCACATTCGAGAAAACACTCCCAACAAGATTGCTTGCTCCAAAATCGAAGAGGCACCGCCCTCCGAATCTCGAGAGCCACTCTCCCAACATGATTACTTTCTCAAAAATCGAAGAGACACTGCTCCCCGAATCTCGAGAGCCAGACCCCCAGCATGATTGCTTTCTCAAAAATCGGTGAGGCACCGTTCTCCGAATCAATCGAAGAGGCGCTCGCTTTCTCAAAAGCTGGGCTGCTCAGAGACCACGAGGGCCGATCTCAGAAATCGAAGAGGCACCCTACTTTTCTAGCCTTGTCAGCACCTGTCACACGCACACTCAGCTTTGCAGAAATTATGGGCATTTTGTCGAAGACTTCTGGTGAAGTAGAAAGCACATGAATCTTACTGTTCAATCACCCACTTCCCACACGCAACAATAACTCATGGGTACCACAGATCACTTTGCCAAAGTTCTCTGCCAAAGTTGAGCACGTGAAGCTTGCAGCTCCCACTACATCGCTCTGACCAAGAAAGGTAAAAGAATAGCAAAGAAACAGCACTAACAAAGTTTAGACACATAAATTTTGAAGGTCTAGCTACCATATTATTACCCACAAGGGTAAAGGAACAGTACCACTGCTGGATAATTGGAAAGTCCCTGTGTGTCAACCTCTGTGCTTCGTGGCAAGGTAGACTAGCAAACATGCCCAACCTTTACTCACATTCGAGAAAACAGTCCCAACAAGATTGCTTGCTCCAAAATCGAAGAGGCACCGTCCTCCGAATCTCGAGAGCCAGACTCCCAACATGACTACTTTCTCAAAATCGAAGAGAGGGTAAAAGAACAGTACCATTGCTGGATAATTGGAAAGTCCCTGTGTGTCAACCTTTGTGCTTCGTGGCAAGGTAGACTAGCAAACATGTCCAACCTTTACTCACATTCGAGACAACACTCCCAACAAGATTGCTTGCTCCAAAATCGAAGAGGCACCGCCTTCCGAATCTCGAGAGCCAGACTCCCAACATGATTACTTCCTCAAAAATCGAAGAGACACTGCTCTCCGAATCTCGAGAGTCAGACCCCCAGCATGATTGCTTTCTCAAAAATCGAAGAGGCATCGTTCTCCGAATCTCGAGAGCCAGATACCACAGACCACTTTTTCAAAGTGCTCTGACAGAGTTAAAACATGTGAAACAGGCAGCTCCCACTACCGTGCTATGACCAAGCAGGGTAAAGGAATAGCATTACTACTTGTTGTTAGGGAGACTCCTATATATGTCGACCTCCATCCCCAACGGACAGGCAGACCTGCAAAAATGCTCAACCCTTCATCATATCTGAGAGGGCACTCCCAACAAAGCCTTTCGAAATATTCAGCTTTCTTTCCCCCCGATAATACCTCTGCAAACAAGCTATACTAGAGCAAGAATATCTCATATCATCAGGGTTAAAAGCAAGAGTATCCCATATCATGCTTTTTCCCTGTTTTTTCTTTTGGCCTTGTTTTTACCTGCAAGACAAGGAGAAAGAGAGCAATCAGTCAGTACTTGGAATCAAGCTTCCAGCCAGGAACTGACTGCCTGGAACCCCTTACCTGATTACTTACCTGGCATTGCTCTCGAGTACTCATCTTCATCATCTTATGTTTCCAGGAAAGATTCCGCATCTGCTTGAGGAACAAATAGGGCAAGTGCGAAGGATACAAGGAAGCATGTGGAGACAAGCGTAACAGCACACGTGCCGATACATCCATTACTCTGTCAAAAGCAAAAGTATCCCATATCAGCAGGGTGGAACGTACTCTAGATTTGATGGACTTGTTTTGACCCTCAAATTCTTCAGTCGGCCTTATACTCTGGAGGAAACCAGAAAACCCTCCAGCTCAGTTCAAGAATAAGCCTGTGGAAAGTTACTTCTTCAAAAGCAAAAGTATCTCATATTATCTCTTCTCATTTTTCTTCTCTTTATCCTTCATGCTGCTGCAAGATGGGGAGAAGGTGAACAATCAGTCGGAGCTCTGATTGCTTACCTTGTCTGTCACCTCTTTCAGCAGACCCCCTAGCTCGGCGACTTGGGGGACTCCTACTACATGGTTTGTATCGCGCTTGACCAAGCCTGAAACTACAAGTAAGCTTCAAGTGAAATTGATACATTACCTTGTGCATCTCCACCAGTTAAAGATACCACCCCTGGATGGAGGAAGAGTACTTCCAGAGAAGATGCCACATCTACCTATGAGACAGATAAGGCAAGTCAAGACGACACACCACACTCCGATACTTAGAAGTTTCGTGATTACGAGATCATTATCCCACAATATTTCCTAATGTCATTTGTACTAAATCATTCACTCGTACTCACTAAAGGAGAGCTTGAACCTATGTACTTGTGTAAACCCTTCACAATTAATGAGAACTCTTCTATTCCGTGGGCGTAGCCAATCTGGGTGAACCACGTACATCTTGTGTTTGCTTTCCTATCTCTATCCATTTATATACTTATCCACACTAATGACCGGAGCAATCTAGCGAAGATCACAAAAAGCGACCGTTTTCGTTACCTAGGATCTATCTTGCAAGAGAACGGAGAATTAGATGGAGATCTCAACCATAGAATACGAGCTGGATGGAAAGAGTGCATCCGGCGTGTTGTGTGACCGTCGTAGGCCACTGAAGCTCAAGGGAAAATTTTATAGGACGGCAATAAGGCCAGCGATGTTGTATGGCAGAGAATGTTGGGTGGTGAAGCATCAACACGTACACAAAATGGGTGTAGCGGAGATGAGGATGCTTCGTGGGATGTGTGGGCACACGAGAAAGGATAAGATTGGGAATGAGGATATCCGAGGTAAAGTAGGAGTAGCCGAAATTGTAGGAAAGATGAGAGAAAATCGGCTCTGGTGATTTGGACATGTGCAAAGAAGGCCGACTGACGCTCCGGTTCGAAGATGTGACTACAGGACAGAGGTTCAGGGCCGAAGGGGTAGAGGAAGACCTAGGAAAACTTTGGAAGAGACTCTAAGAAAAGACTTAGAGTACTTGGATCTAACGGAGGGCATGACACAAAACCGAGCGCAATGGCGTTCTAGGATTCATATAGCCGACCCCACTTAGTGGGAAAAGGCTTTGTTGTTGTTGTTGTTGTTGTTGTATCAGTTGCGAATATAAAGTTAAGAAGCTACAACATAACAATAGCATATGTTCATTTCTAACAATATAATCATCCAGTAAGAAACATACTGCCATATAATAACACATGATTAGACAACGTAGTATTAAAAGGAGAGTGAAAACTTAAATCCAATCTTCGCACTTTCGCATGAACGTTTTCTAAGACTGAAACAAGTAACAAACACACCATTAGTGACGTTATTCGCCACAGAGATCTCAAAACCACAGCTCTTCTCTGCAAGGCATCAAGGAACAAACCTATTTTACTCGCGGTGATGAAAAGCGAAAACAGTTGGGATTAAAAAGCAAAAATTGAAGGGCATGGTACAAGTACAAGAAATCAATCCATTGCAATGAGACAAATCCTACAAAATTCACACTAAATGCCAAAAGAATTTTAGTTATTGAAATCTTGAGAGGACTAAAAAATAGATTACGACGAAAATCTGCTCATCAATGACAGTGCAAGACATTGTAACATTAGACTCAGAAAATGATTTTGATAGGTAGCATTGTAAATTAATCCAACATTTAATTCATGCTTTCCAAAATCAACAAATTCCACAATTGCAAGAGAAACCCAACTTGAATATCTTAAATGCCAAAACCAAAAACTGCCCTTATCCGCTGGAAGATAAGATCCCGCCATCCTCTCTCCGTATTCTCCACCACAGTCGCGTTCCCATATCTGCATTACCAAACACATAAAATCAAGGCAATCAACTTTCCATCAAAAAAAACCAATTCAACTCACAAGCTCCAAATCAACCTAGAATTTAAGCTCCATCCAATCAACACTAAATTTGTTTTCAAGAAAAACCCATTAATCGAAAGCTTAAACAAAACCAACCTGTCTTCATCAGGAATGTCCGTATGTGTTAGTTTAACAACAGTGAGCCCAGGTTCAGGTTCTTCAAGTGTAAGCCTCACCTGCAAAATTCAAACATCAAACACTCAATCAACAAATAACAAAACCAATTAAGACAACACATTCAAACACGAACACCCGAATTTCAAATGCCACATACCGTCGAATCAATCCCGTCAGGCCAGCTCCCAAATCTCCATTTCTGCACAATCAAACTCCCACTCTGCAACTCCAAATTCGTACCGGTCACCGACCCATCAAAAATACTAATCGGCCCTCCTACCTCCTTGCTTATCTTCGCATTGCTCTGCGTAAAACCCTTCCATCTGTTCTCATCCATCAAAATCTCAAACATATCTTTCGCCCTGCAACTGAACTTCTCAGTCAAATTAATCGTCTTGAACCCTTTCTTGCTCTCCTTCTTCTTCACCTCCTTCTCCACAACCACCTCCTTTGTCGCCGTTGCCGCAGTCACCGCGGCCGTCGAATTACTCTTCGGCGCAATCTTCTTAGCCTCGACTTCCTCCTTCGCCGGCCCGCCCTTCGCCATACTCTCCACATAAACCCTAACCTTCTCCAAAATCAACGGCTTCCCCTTCGCCACCATCGCCTCCTTAATCCTCCTCCCAATTGGCCCCTCATCCTTCACCGAAACCTTAACCTCCGGGTCCTCGTCGGCGTTCTCATCCGAAATATACGGAATCTCCACAGCTCCGTCAACCTTCAGCAGGGACTTCCCGTCGCCGTCCTTCGCCTCGCCCTCCCACGACAGACTGAGGCTGATTTCGTATCCCGGGATGATCTTCCCTTTCCGGACGTTGACGTAGGCTTCGCCGTCGACCTTGTCGACGGTCTTGGTCCTGAGGTGTAGGTTGCCTTCGCCGTCGAGGACGGTGAGGTTGTTGAGGAGCTTGTTGAGGAGGTCACGTGACCAGCCGAGGCAGTCGGTCTCGGCCCAGTGCCAGTTGTGGACGTTGGCTCCGTCGGGCCTGTCCTCCACGATCCACCGCTTGTCGCCCTCGCCGTACTTCGCCATTGAATCGAATCACGAATCACACTCAAAGCTCTAGAGAGAAAGAGAGAGAGGAGAGAGAGAGAGAGAGGGTTTGGGATGGAAGAGGAGAGAGAAATACGGGGCGGGGGGAAGGAGTCTGGTCTGGAGGATTTCTTATGGGGAGGACTGAGGAGAATGGAAGGGTCTAGAATTTTGAGGGGAGGCCCAATAAAGTTGGGGAATAGAAGGATCTGGAACAACTGTTTGGGCTGCATTTATTTTTTGCAATTTCCGTTGTTGAACCGGGTGAGCTGTCAGTTCAAAAAAGAACTGGTTTGTGAAACAAAAAAGAAAATCCCTTGTTCATTTCACTTCATACCCTATATTCTTGGAGAAATTCTCTCCTGCTATTAATATTTATTTCTCTTAGTTTTTATCGTTTTAATGAATATTTGTCACGTTCGTAAATAACTACTTAAAATGTTGTTACTTGTAAATCTTATATTTATTTCTTTGTAACAATCATGTATGATATTTCAAATCTCTCTATCTACTGTTTTGTAATAGATTTTTTAACTAATTTAACTTAAATAACTATCGAGAAATTAAAATATTGCATACCAAAATAGGTCTCGTTTATAAGTTGTTGCTACCACACGACATGACAATACACGTTTCAATGGTATAAGCTGTAAAAGTAGAGAAGAATTTTATTAGGGCAAATCCGTAACTTATGTAAATAGGAACATTAATGAGAGAGACATATGAATCTATTTTTTTAAATCTCACTCGTTCATTTCTCGTTGGTTTGTAAATTCTCTCTTAGATTATAAACAAGCAATATTTGCCAAAAAAAAAAAAAAAAAAAAAAAAAAAAACAAGCAATATGGTACAGAATCCTTGCAATGAATCAATATACTGAGTTCCCGTGTAGGTTAGACGTCAGTCAGTTAAACTGTAAACATAATGCAAACACTATTACGAACAATCATGGCTAATAGACCTTTCCAACAAACATTAAAAGGACGACCCAAGCCAACCAGGCACTCACTTGGCGAGGGTTGTGTTGTTTACAAAAAAAATTTCAGGTTCACATATCTGAAAGGGACACCGGATTACCAAAGCGGCCATATGCATGATCAGGGATAAGTTTACGTATCGACATTTTGTACAGTTTCATGAAACATAAGTTAAGATTCAGGTGGCCTGAGGGTGTTTTTAGGAGCACTAATCCAAGAGGTACCTGCAACTGCAAATCTCCACAATGCATTGACATGCTCAGGTGAAGCGTAATCAATTCCCACGCGGACCAACCAGCATCTTTTCGGGCTCCGGACCATCTAAGATCTCCAGACCATCTAGCCAGACCCATTCATTTATCTCAGAATTAAACAAGTTTGTTTAGATTTATAGATGAAGGAGTGAGAGCCAACCATACGTACCTGGAGTATAAAGGGGATGGCTTGACCACTCGGTAGAAAGTCCCAGCGCTTGACCAATCTGAACACAAAAATATAGACCTTAACAATTCAAAAACCGCTAACACAAAGAATGGCACACGGAATTCAGAGAAGTGTATCAGTTTCTCCGAGAGTAAGAACAACTATAAATGTTTTAATTTATATTGAAATATATTTATGCTCATCAGCCTATTTTGATACAAAGATAGTCGCACATTTGCATATGAGGCAGGTTGTTAAAATTTATAGGTTTCTGTTTTGGTAAAATCAACAGCACCTACACTAACCATCCAAAAACAAAGTATACCATCGACCACTAATACAAAATTTGTGCCAACAGAAGATTGCATTGGAACTTAACACAGATTTTAAGGAAAACGATGCTGACCTTTCCAGGTCCATTAAGGAGCACGGGTTTATCAGTTTTCTGACCTCGACGCTGCTGAATGGTCTCCAATCCTGTAATGACTTTCATTATTTCTGTGAATAGCATTCATCGAGAGAAATGGATAAAGAGAAGAAAGAGGGAGAGATGAATCTCTTTTCACTTGGTTATGAGATAGTTAAATGTAGAGAACGACGACAAACAAAAGAGCCATTTTTTCCCCACCAGAAAGTAGAGAGAATTTGAAATAAAAACGTGAATCAGAGAAACTAAAAATCTTTTCTCTCTCTTATCCCATATTCTTTTCACTACCTTCGTAAACAACTTTGTCATACACATTGCCAGTAAAAGAAGTTTGCAGTATGCTAGAGCTCGCTCCTTTTTTGTCCCTCTAAAAAGTTTCGGGTTGGAATGAAGGTTGTTGAAGAGCTGACATCTATATAAGAAAGATGGTCAGCACATTGTTCTCTCCCTTATCAGTAAACATTTGGAAAACTATGCTAATCCATACCATCTCAAACAGTAATCAGCAGTCTTTGGAAGCTACTAGCTCTTCACTTGCAGTTCAAGTCCAATTCTTTCACCTAACACCGCCTAAAGTTATTTCTCTTCCAAAGCAAAGAAGCACACATGACTGCATTAAAAGAACTTTTGTTACCACTCCAAAATGCTCACCTCACTCATATGGTTTCCCCACCCCCGTTATTTCGGTTTCTTTTCTCAAAATTATATTGCTCAACTGACCTCCCATATTCCCAACATACTCCAAAACTTGAACACTAGTTTTAAAACTAGAAAAAAATAAAAAAAAACTAGATCCATTTAAAAAAATCTGGTATCGGTTTCATATAATCATAACGATGGTTGGTTAGCAGGATAAGACCTTCGCTTTCAATTCACAGAACGGCACAAATTACATGCAATGAAAGGGTAAACATAAGGATAACTCTAGTAAGTGATCGTTAGGGTATTACGGCTATCTCTATGAAAATTTACCACTAACTGGAGCGCAAGAACGTATTAGGACAGCAGCCCCAACCCCCTCCTTGTCAGCAACAACATTCAGCATTGTATGGAGGCCGTAGCAAAGATAAACATACGCATGCCCTCCAGGTCCAAACTGTATCCAAACCACAATACATTAATTTGAGCTCATGTTTTTCGATATTTATCTACATTTTGAGATCACAAAACGCGAAGAAAAACAGAACAAAACCGATAAAGGGAGCAGCGTCTCACAACGGGGGCTGTTCTTGCAGTTATGCCAAATCGACCATGACAAACCGAATCATTTGGCCTATAAGCTTCTACCTGTCACCAATGCAAAATCAATTAAACTCTCGTCATGATTACAAATCATTATGTCAACCATTTTGATTTATGCATTTTATTCGAAAACGACAGGAAATTTCAGCATTTGAGACACAACGTGAACTCGTTTTCGGACTTGGAAGCTCTTCAGCTCAGTCACACAACTGCGATTTCCTTCATTTTCTCGGGAAACAAACAGAAAGTTGACAAACTAATTTCAAACGGAAAAGGACATAACAGTACAAAATTGATGGGTAAATTACCTCAGTAATCTGAAGAACAACATCCTCTCGCCTCAGAAACTTGCCCAGCAAACGTGGGGCGAGCTCTAGGGCGTCGATTTGGAAGAATGAGAAGGGCAAGATGGTCATTTTCTCGGGAGGAAAGTCTGGGATTGGGAGTGATGAGTCGGATTTGGTTTGAGGTTGAGATTGGGGTTTTTTGGGTTTGACCGCTGCGACGGTCAACGATTCCGAACATTGAATCGGCCGAGTTTTGTCTTCTTCATTAGTGAGACGGTTGGATGGAATTGGCCTCTTGGGTTTGGCGGCGACTCGTTTAAATGCCCGAGGTTTCTTCATTTCGTCTCGCAGGATGTTTATGTTTGCTGGATTTTGGCGGGTATTTGATGGTCCCTGAAAAAAGACGAAACTTGGTTCATGACATTCATGACATCATATTACCAAATTAGGGTAGTTTGAAGGTGTTCTTAAAATGATCGAAAATGTCTTTAGAAAATAAAAGTTTCAAAAACATTATAAGTGCTTTTCTAGATTTATTTACATTTTAATGATTGGTTTTAAAATTTTTTTTTATCAAAATCGTTTTAAGTCATTTTAAAAGTAATTTCAATATTCAGAATCATCTCGGATCTTGTAATCAAAAGGAAATTATATATAGTTGTGTGTTTAACTCACATAATATTGTCGTTTTGTTAGTTATCTACACGTCAAAAATTCATCATGTACGCCTTGAAGGGCCTTTCTAGGATGAAACCCTAGGAGAGCGCTGGCATCAGTTTGTTGGCTGTTTTTGGCCGATGAACTCAGGTCGCTCTAACTTTAGAGGCGGTGAAGCAGAAGACGAATGGTGTGACAGATAGTACCGCAACTAGTTGAGAAGGTGTTCAAGAGCTGTTTGTGGACTTGCATGTGGGTAACAAGGGGACTGAGTACTATGGAAGACATGGTCTCCAAATTTTCTGGGCAATTTGCTATCACATAAGATGAACAATAGATACTTGTGGTTGATGCGAATGAGGGGTCGACGTTGAGATCTTCGAAAGTTTTCTTGGTGGGGAAGGTGTTAACACAAAAGCCCTTTAACAAGGAAAACTTCAAGCGTCAAATGCGAAGCTTGTGGAAACCCAAAGCGAATGTATTTATCATGGATTTGGACAACAATAGCTTCGCATTTGGATTTAACACGAAGTAAGAGATGACTGTGATCCAACCGGGGGGGGGGGGTTCATGGCTGTATGATTGATGCGAAATATATAAGCACACAAATTAAACCATTTTGTTATCAATTGTAGCAAAGTATGTAAGTAGGGATCGTTCTAGGCCGGGGATTAGAAGGGATTGCTAAATCACTTGAAAACTGACTCAAAACGTAAAAACAAAGTTTAAAACACTAAACTAGACTCAAAGAATGCAAAACTAAACTCTAAAACACTAAAACAAACCAAAAGACTCAAAACAGCCCAGAAACACTCAAAACTGCCTTAAAAACACTTTCTGTGCAGTTTTGAACACAAAACACAATATGGACGAAAATAGGTTATAACTTGACTCAAGGCACTTAAAAACACAAACTAAATTGATTTCTAGCTAATCTAACACTTCAAAATAAATGGGGAATTGGTTTTGACGAAAATTGAAAACAAAAACAAAACTTTGTAAATTGAATAGATTCTAAAACGAATTTGATTAAAGTGAATGGATGGAAAGCTAGCTAAGGGGTTCTTCTCTACACATGTCACACTTGCATACGAAATGATTTCCAATTGC